CAATATACATAATACGAGCTTTGCCAAGATATTATTTATAATGCCAATAGTGGAGTAGGCAATATGAAGAAAACAAACAATATTGGGCATTTCTTATTACCAACGATTTTATTTGAAGCGATAGTAGTAACAATTAAGCTACAGATAACGACATAAATATATGTAATATATATTTACCTAACCAGAAATCATTCACTGAAAATGATATAAACAATATTATAAAACAATTACCGCAACCATTCATAATAGTAGGTTATTTTAATAGTCACAATGTAATATGGGGTTCTGACCAAACAGATAAAAGGAGTAAAGTTATAGAAAATATTCTTGAGAACAACACTATCATATTATTAAATAACACTGAAACCACAAGACTAAACCCAATAAACGGCAACCTGTCAAACATCGACCTATCATTTGCAAGCACAGCACTAGCTCAACGAATCGACTGAAACGTATCAACAAATCTAACCAGCTGCGATCATTTTCCTATAACATTACAAATTCTATCTCGGTCTGACAAATCAAAAAATGAAACATCAGAAAGATGGAACCTAAAAGAACCGAATTGGACTCTATACACGGAACTATTAGAATCAGAAATAGACAACATAAAATATATAAATACATTAAACATAGACAGTATAATAAAATCGTTTACGTATGCTATAACAAAAACAGCCGAACTTTCGATAGGAAAAAACAAAAGCAAGTCAAAACAACCGAAGGTTCCGTGGTGGAATAATGAAATAAAAAACGCAATAAAATTGAAGAATATAGCCCTAAATATTTTAAAAAAAACAAATAATGAAAGTGATTTCATAAATCTAAAAAAACATAGGGCATTTTCAAAATATATAATAAAAAAAAGTCATGGGAAAATTTCACTAATAATATAAACGAAAAAGCAGACACCAAACTTATATGGAATAAAATACGAGCGTTAAAAGGGCTCAAAAGAAACTACAAAATAAATCTAATTGATAAAAACAACAATAATCTAGTAACCAATACAAATGAAATTGCAAACAAATTAGGAAAATATTTTCATTCCAACAGTAATGATAATTCCTATAATTCCAATTTTATCAAAATGAAAATCAAAAAAGAAAATACACCTATTATTAATAGTTGACCAAAAAAATGAAAATCAAGCACGAATAAACGCAATGATAACTATAGACGAGATATCACACACACTAAAAAAATGTAAAAGTTTAAGCCCAGGGCCAGACGGAATCCCATTAATATTTATACACTATTTTGGTCCAAAAAGCCAAATTTTATTACAAAAAATATATAACATTTTCTGGTGCGATGGATCATTCCCATCAACATGGAAAAATGGCATAGTCATTCCTATTAACAAATCGGGAAAAAGCAGATTCAATACTGAAGGATATCGGCCAATAACTTTGTTAATTGAACATCTAAACGATTTTCACGAAATATATACTGACGCCTCCAAAAATGATGAAGGGGTAGGAATAGCCATAGTAAAAAACAACCTACAGACATCGTTTAAACTACCCCCTACATGTTCTATATACACAGCTGAAGCTGTGGCTATACTTATGGCCGTCAAGTTCGTTTACAAAAATGAAAATCAAAAATATATTATTTTAAAAGATTCGTTAAGCTCTCTCATTAGTATAAAAAACAAATTTAATCCTAGTGATATAGCAATACAAATTCAAAATAGACTCGAAGAAGCAAAAAAAAAACAATATCATAATCCTTGTATGGATACCTGGACATATAGGAATAGAAGGCAATGAAGGGGCTGATAAACAAGCAAAATTTGCAAGCCACTCAAATAATACACAATACATCAACATAGTCTAGTACACAGACGTTAGAAATCAAATTAAACAAAAAAAAACCTCCCTTTGGCAAAACATATGGAATATTCAAATAAACAAACAAATTAAACCAAATTAAAAAGACAGTAAAAAGATGGAAAAGAAACCCGAACATAAGTATACCAAATGAAAAAAAACTAAATCGAGCCAGAATTGGTCACACAAGAATAACACATGAATACTTGATGGCAAAAGATAACCCACCTATATGTCAAGCATGCTCACAATTAAACACATTTTTGATGAATGCAGATCATTCCAAACACAAAGAGAAGAACTCAACATAAGTCACGACGTCGGAACTAGCTTAGGCCCAAACCCAGAAAACGAAATCAATACAATAGAATTTTTAAAAGCAACTAAATTATTAAATTTACTTTAAGATAAAATACCAATATTGTAAAATTATATATATATATATATATATGTACTTTTTTTTTTATGTAACGCTAATGGCATCAGTTGTCGAAACGGAAATTTAAATTTCAAGACCAATAAAAAAAAAAAAAATTAAAGAAAACTACCTTAATATATTGTTCCAGGGCTTGATAAATGGCGTCACAAACTTCTGGTAAAAATTTAGATATTGCTGAAATTGACACTCTAAAGAAATGTTGTAGGGTTCAGTAACTATTACCAGTCGCTAAAAAATGCTATGTTATCTGTAGATTAATACGCGCTGGTAATTCATCTCGAAGCATAGTGTCCTACTTTTGAATAGTTGGTGATACCAAACTCAATAATTGTTTAAAATTTTCAGGTGTCATTTTTAAACACAATCTGTACTCTTCTGGATCCTCTAAAGCTAGTTCAGTAAGATTTTCTGATGCGCTAAGTACTGTTTTTCTTTTTATCCACTCTCGAACCCAAATTCGTTTTTCTTCATTACTCTCATCAATGAATTCTAAAATGTCATTTACTAACGCAGTTGTAACCACTCGAAGGTATTTCTATAATAATTTTCGACAATGACGACGACGTACGATATCCATATTTGTATATTTGATGTTTTGATGTTGATCAAACCTAACCGTGACGGCGTGAGTTTACAGATCAACTGCACTCTCTTTTACTAAATACTAGCTTCGTGTAAACAGTTACTCTATTAAAACAAGTAGAGTAGTGAGTAGAAAAAATAGTAGGCTAGTGTACTTTATCAAATACTCTATCAATGTAAACCCGGCTTAAGAGTGCCCAAACTCGAGCATGTCTACCGAGAAGCCGATAACGGTCAGACACCCGTCGATATCTAGACGCTTTATTTTCGTTGCCATTGTTCGACCGCCGTCATTGTTTATCTAAGTCGCTGACTGCTACCTTGTATACAGATTATTATTAAAAAAAACCTTGTTATTCAAAATAGAACTATAGCATCGCGTTACGAAAATATTGTGGTAATACAATCAGTGCCGGTTTGAGGGGGCAACTGCCCCGGGCGGCAATTTTTTGATGGCGTCAACAAAAATTTTGAAATTTTCTAATGTATATACTAGTTTTTAGGAAAAATTATTAATTTATTATTTAAAAATATTAATAACAATAATATAATATTATATTATATTAAACCGCTAAGTTATTTCGTCAGTGTGCATTCAGCATATTAAGGGTAAAACCATATTATTATCAATATTTAGCACTCGGATATATGTATTTTTATTTTCGTTAGAATGACATAAATTGTGTTTATTGTATTTCTTATATATCTCTATGAGTGTATTATAATTTATAATCATCAGATTATTAAATAAGATATTAATAGTTTCAAATAATTTTATATATTTTATTTACAACTGCTATAATATACTACAACGTTCCTGGTGGAAAAGACACATGCGCAGTAAAAACCAGTTTTCGTCCAAGTGACCGAGTACTCTTATTCTGAATAGACTATAGTACTTATTATCAGTTCCAAACTATTGTATTCCACAGGTAACAGTCCAAATTTTTAATTTTTGATATTGTCTATGTTATCAATTGAAAAACATATGATCAAAAATATTCCTAATTTTAATGAAAAGGTTATTGATATATTTGCTGAAAAAGAAAGAAGAATAGAATTAGTTTGTAAAAATGTATCTGACTAATATAATAATTATGATTTATTTTTCATCATATACTATAAATACTTATAAATATATTATTTATATTTATAAAGTTCAGTTTTTCTAATGTACCTACCTAATTTATTATTAATTCTTACTATGTATAAAGTATTAAATATAAATTTTATAAATGTGCATCACCAACTATTTTACCCACGAGCCGCCACTGATTTGTATATATACGCAGATCAAACATATACACTACAAAAGCGTGTACACAAATAATTATTAAATTAATATTTAATAAAAAAAAAAAAAAAAATTTACGCAGTTTTTTTAGTTTCCATAAAATTTATTATTCTGCGTTCGAACAAGAATGTATATTTTAATTTTACTATATATATCGTTATACAATTTTATTTTATATTTTCTATCATTGTTCAACGTATACCAGGCGCCTTACAAGAGGCAGATGAAGAAGATACCGTTATAGAACATGCTACACAAATTACATAATTCAGAAAAAACAGAACACACAATAAACACTTGGTCAGAAAAATTAAAGGGTTTTTCAGTATTATCATGGAAAAACATTTATGGTTGAAGGGTTATTGGTTAATATTTTTAAGATTAAAATTATCTAGCTAACACTGTGAAATGCACAATAAAACAAGAATGGTTGAATGGACGGATCAGAAATTGTCCCATTTTTCATATTCCAAATGCTCAAATATATTTATGGTTATAGTCAATGTGCACCGTAATATTAAGTTTAAATTAAGGTATAATCACCGAACATAACGGTATTACCATGACATTCCATAGGTAAATTTATTTTGGTATTTCAATTGTATAATTGGTGAGTATTAAATTGGGTAAGTAATTCAAGTTATTTTAAGGACTCCAAAAACCTGGTAAATTGAATTACCGAAATGGGTTAACCCAGTCAGGATGACTTCTGGTTATTATTAGTTATTATTGGAAACTATGTTATTATAATTACCAGTTTTTTTTAAACCGTCAGGTATTTGCTGTCAAACATTTTCTCTTACGAGTTGGATTTCATAATGTTGAACAAAAAAATAATAATTTCAATCCTAGTAGAGGTGCAAACTAGTTGGAATTTGAGGAGGAGGCTAATATGTAGACTAAAACATTTTTTTAATACTTCTCCCAATCAAATATTGTTTAGCAAACATCTACTAATAAGACAATTTTAATTTGAAAAGTAGCCTAAAAATGTATAAACGTATGAAAATTGTCAATCAAACTATTTTAAAATTTAAATATACCATCTATTAATTTGATAAAATTTTATCGACTGTCAACTTTAGTCAGTACTACTTATTAGGTCCAACAAAGTAAAAATGATCAGGTTCGTTATTTAATTAATTTGTTGTTTAAAATACAGTTGGCTGTAATATTTTTCGGTCAACAAAATATTGTCATATGTTACATTGATCAACTAAATTAGGGTTTGGCTATTTTATTGTTGACTATTTAAAACAAATGCTTTCTTAATAGAATACAAATTTAATTTTTATAAATAATCTCTCATACAACAAATTTTTAAATACATAGGATTACATAATTAACTATTAAACCATTGTAATCAATATTATTATTTTTATAAAAAGTTTTCTTATATTAATAAGAATGCATTAGAAATTACAAATATAATAATATCACTAATTTTGGATTTTCACAAATATACATTTTATTTTGGAAAATACTTAGGTTATAGAAGTAGTATATACTTACATCACCTAAAATGTTAATACAGTTCTACTGACATTTAGCCAAATTTTTTTTGATAGGTGAATACATCTTATCAGTTATTATAAATATGTTTAATACAAATTATTAAATTTATGTATAAAAATGCACTAAAACTTAATTTTTCAATTTAAAAATAAAAACTTTAATTAAATTATGACCCAGTGAGAATATTATACATATGCTTGTATTGGCATCAGATTGAAAACTTAAGTAAAAACAATATTAAAAATATTAAAATAAAAACACTAGTGTTATTGTTGATATTTTTGAATTGGTGTTACAACCATACTACATTATATGTATATATTAAATACTATAATTGAATATAAACTAATGCAAAATAGCAATAATATTCATGTTAATATAAACTTCAACATAACATGGTTTGCCAAAAGTAAAAATAAAATTAATTAAAAATAAATAATATAACAATTATATATTTTAACGCCCGTGTAAAAAAAATCACAATGCATGAAAAAAATTTAATTCTCATCACTTATTTTACTGTAAATAAAAATATTTTTAAATGGAATTATATAATTTAAACTAATGAATTACATTTCCTAGTATTTTTATATAGATTATTATTATAGTAATAATTGATGTAAAATTTTGAGATGAGCGCATGTTTATTATTTGCATTGTAATAAATATAGTTCTTTAATAAATTATTTTTACTATTTTATATTCAGTAACCCTCAACATATTTATCCTGCTCTAGGTCCAAGTTTATCAAGAATGGATATTCCTCTGTCCAGGTATTCTTCACGCGATAACCAAAAAGATTCCCTATCCTTGGTCACTTCTCCTAATACAGCTCCACCAATAAATACCATGTCTTTACGTAATGGTGGATCTTCAATTCGGATTTTAAGTTTCTGAAAATCATATTATAATTTAAATTTTTTTTTAAAATTAACTTAAAAATAAATTACCGATAATGTGGTTGTATCATTTTTTAACACTCGTTCAACATAAAGCTGTTTGATTTCACGTTCCAATCTTGATGGTAATCCAGGATACATAGTTGATCCACCAGAAAGTACAATATGCTTATATAGTTCAGTTCTCATATCAATATCAGCAGTTTGAATAGTATTGAACACTAGTTCAGCAATACCTAAAATTATAGTGATTAATTTACATTTAAATAATATATTAAACTAAAAATCTCAGTGTAAAGTATAAGTTTTAAATACATACGTTGACTCAGATAAAATGAATGATATATCCCAACATTATTTTTAAAATACATTAATTAATATTTAAACTTAAATGAAATAAGTAAGTTACTAAATTTTGAAGTATATTATCATGCAAACCTTGGCCTTCAACATTTATTAAATGCGGTTGGAATAATACTTCAGGTGCTTCAAATCTTTCACCTCCAACTTTGATCACTCGTCCATCTGGTAACTATAAAGTAAAATGTATTTTTAAATTTTGCAATTGAATATGAGAAACTAATGTAATAAGCTAACCCTAATTATATGAGTGTTAGATTTAAAAAAACAATTTTCTATTATTATATTATATCTAATATTTTATTTAACTGATTGAATTATGTATTTATCAGTCATCAACATGCAATTAATTTATTAAAGGTTAAGTTCGTGACTATTTGTTTTGTATTAATTAAAATATTATAGGTCATAACAACATATTTATTTATATTTAATGTATATTATAATCTATGAAATATGGCGTAGTGTGTCATAATTAAATTCTAATTGTTCAATGAGATACAAGCATTCATTTTACGCGAATGACGCGAAAAAGCCAAATTTAGAATGGTGGTTTATGTTTTATGTGTTTAGGTGTTTTGATTAATACAATTTCAATCGCTAAAGATGATTTGTATATATATATTTTTTTTTTTTGTGTAATCTGAAGTTTATGTATGTGTTTATGACACAAGGTTAATATAATTTTGATATAATTTGTAAATAGTTTTTTTAAAATGCTTAAAACAAATAAAGTATATTTCATAAAATTTGATTTGTACTCATGTCACATAAGCATGGCATAAGTATGGCGGTGGTAAATGACAATAAGTTAATTTATATTATACTATTATATTTATTTGATTTATGCAATAACAAGATATATTAAATTTAAAATTGTATTTCATAAACACATCAATATATTTAATTTTCTGTTGTAAGTTATTAAAATTATTGCTTAGTATAAGATCATAAGCCTAAAATTTAAAAAATAAATAGTTTGTGTTATGATGTCCTTTAATATTCAATATTTATTATTATTTGATATGAATAATAAGTAAAATTTTATTTTTGGTATAGAAAATACAAAATTAAATTAATTATAATAATAAGCACAATAATGTGTGTTTACTGAACAGCATAGTATATGTGTGATAAAGCAAGTGAAAACTATTTCAATAATGTATTAGTAATTTAAAAATATTTCTAATTTTTTATTCTTTGAAAATATTATTTTATAAGTATTTCATAAAAAAAAATAACTGATACCACATACCGTATATGACTGTACAAGAACAGTTGTATCCAATGCTAATTTTTGTTCAGTCTCAATGTTATATGCAACATAACATAATTTTTCTTTCATCATTCTTACGGTCTCAAAATCAGCAGAATGATTGAATGCATACCCTCTTAATAGCAACAACTAAAATATTTTAGAATTAGATAAGTTTGATCAAAGATACACATTAAATATATTTACTTTGATTAAATAACGGGTGACATCCCGACCAGCAATGTCTAGTCTTCGAGTTAAATGTGGTAATACATATTCTTCATACACAGGGCATATATGAGTAACACCATCACCAGAATCAACAACTACTCCACTGAGTAATCCTTGAGCATATAATGTAAGAATTGCTTGAACGGCTACATAAACAGCATTAAATTCATACTTTTCAAACATTACCTATTCAACAAATATTCATTAAAACCAATAACGTTTTATTACAATAAAGTTTTATAATACGAACTTCAATCATTTTTTCTCTGTTTTTAATTGGATTCATAGGAGGTTCTGTTAACATTATTTTGCATTCTTTTGGATCAATGTTCATCTTTTTCGGTCCAAAGGTATAATCCCAAACATGGCACATATCATCCCAATTTCTATATTTATTTTAATTTATAGCAATAATTTATTTAGCGTTATATAATATTTTAAAATTGAAATACAAACCTAACAATGCCATTTTCCATTGGATATGTAACATCTAACATAGATCTTAACTGACTAGCTTCATCGCCAATCATTAAATCCTTAAAAAAAAAAATTAAATTAATAATTTTAATAATAATAGAAATTACGATTATAGGCATAATATACAGTGACAGCACTAGAGTTTGTGAGGCCCTGGGCAAAATAAATATTGGGTCTTATAATTTATATTAACAAAATATTTTAAAATCAGTTAAATCTGAACTGCAGTGTTTTAATTATAATTTAAGGCCCAGGGCCTTGGGCAACTGCCCCTATTGCCGTTCCTGATAATATATCTAAAATAAAACATTTTTCTTAAATTATTGGATACATTTCCTTGTAAATTAGGAACAGAACAAAACATTATACATGTTTAACGTTTAAAATACAATAAAAAAATAATTAAAAATGTTTTACTGAAGCATTATACTAATGTACCTATATTTAATTATAAGTATTAATTGACATTTTCTTACTTTAACTTCAATATCACCAATTTTATTGTGCGCACGAATTATTGGTCGACCAACCATTGAAGGGAATATGTGAGCTGGAAAATTTGATCCAGCATAGCCACATTTAACGAACTAAAATAAATATTTTATACAATGAGAACAGGTATTTATGAGGTTACTATTAAGATATGAGTGATGTAGTCAGTTGTGTTTACAACTGCATTGTAACAATGTTTAACTGAACAACAATGATCGGAACTGAAACCGAATACAGTTAGGCCGTCAGCCAAGCAAGATTGACGATGCGATTCAAGTGACTCGAGTTGTTGAGCAAGTTAAGGCAAGAAACATTGTTTACTGCTATCGAAACGCTGAGGGATGAGAAAAGCGAACACAACTGACCATAACACAGTTACGGATTGTCCGGACTTAGCACTCACCCCTGTTCCGTTGTCGCAGACGACGACTTTTCTACCGCGACTGTCCATTCTGCACGCGTTGTCACGAGGGCGGCGGTCGAGTGTGGAGCACTTGGAGAACACGGGCACCGAACCGTTTGCGCGACCTAATAATGGACACAGAATCTCATCAGACCGGTTATCAACGGCGGCTGGACTGACCGTTGGTGTGTTGCACCCGTTGTGTTAGCGCGTGTCGTTGTTATCTTGACGTGTTGAACGCGGACGACACTCCGGGTCAGCACACGGTTGTCGGTGGGCACGGTGAGTGGAGCAGTGACCGGCAAGAGTGTGAGAGGGAGAGAAAAAAAACGAGCGAGTGAGAGACAAAAACCCGATTGCGGTTGCCGAAGGGCACGAGAAGAAGCGATGCGGCGAACGGGCGGGCCGGCAGCGATTATTAGTCAGTCGAACGTCCGGCGTGACACATAGGTACAATGCGCTGCGGACAGCCGACGAGCCATTGGTCCGCGGACGACAACAGATAACGTTTATCGCGACGTCGCGGCGTCGCCGACAGATGTACTATGGTGTACGCGTAGCATGCGTGTGATAAGGAACCGAAAAGAGAGAGAGAGAGAAACGCGCATAACGACGTCGGCAACGTGGAGGTAAAACGTCCTCCGCGAATCGTAAACCAAACGCCCGCGTAGGCTACACAACGTACCGCGAAGCGCGCGCACGCGACCCGCATTTAAGGGGCACGGTTCTCGGGAACGCGTTGTCCGTGTACGGTTCGCGTTACCCAACACCTGAACGCTCGGGCGGTATTATTATTATTATTAAACCGTCGGTGGGACACGCAACGCGGCTCGTGAGAACTGTTCGTGACGATCGCGAAGGTGGGTTTACACCGGTGCGGTTGTTCGGGGGACCACTCGTCGCGTCTAGCGTTTTTGCTGTTCCGAAGTCATCGGAGCAAAAAATACGTGATTTCGTAAAGCCGTTGCTGCACGGTGTACGTCAGAAAAACGATACGTGGTACCGCATGGCGGTACTTGTGTTCAGAACCACGTTTAACAGGGGGGGGGGATTGCCCCGGGGGGGCAAATTTTTGAGGATCAACTTAAAATAAAAGATAAAAATCATCATTCTTCTTGTATGGCCGTACAACTATAAGACATATAATTCATCATTCTTCTTGTATGGCCGTACAACTATAAGACATATAATTTCTATTACATATATTATTTTCTATTTTGAACTATAATTTTCTTACGGGAGGCATATTTTAATTTGCCCCCGGGGCGGCTATGTAGCTTAACGCGGCACTGCTTGTGTCCGAAGTACGAATCATTACGTTTTCCGCACGGGTCTGACGTCGCCCTAACGCGTCACGTTAATCGGCGCTATGATAAAATGATCCGTCGAGTTGGCAATTCAATAGGAGCATACGCCTAACGCTCCAGAAAGAACTGAAATCACGCCGCCGGTCCACACGGGACGTGAGCCACAATCGTGTTTCGCGATATCGATGCACGTTGACTAGCGACCGTGGTTTCATTTAGCGTCGCACACGGATCGTGTGTGTGTTTACGCGTGAACACGATCTTTGTCCAGTAAGATGGACTACTTTTGTTTTCGTAACTTTGCCTCCGTTTCTATACGACTGCAGTCTCGTGTTTCAAAGAACTTATTCTTATTCGTCGTAATTGTCTATGAAATATTTGTTGTCCGTTCATCGTAGTATACGATTTTTTCATATGCAATTTTCATAGCAATCTTACTCGCACTGATTGTATTTAACTATATAATTTGATTCGTATTAAAAATCTATTATAATATTTTACCGATAAATACATATTCTATTGTTCGCCACGACTAATATCCAACATGGTTCGATATTGTACGAACCAGACGTGACAGGTTAGCGAACGATAATTTTATTGCGCCGTGAAATACGAATTGTTTGTTTACACGAACCGTGAGCCACGCTTTCGTAAGTCTTAGCTCATATCTCGGTGTATACTCACTCAAGTATCTTGCTTGCGGACGCACAGGACCGATGACGCCGTCCAATGAAATATAAAAAAATATAAAAAATATATATTATTTTCAACTACGTCAAAAATATTATATATAATACACTCGATCAACGGACTTGGTATTTATAATAAATCCACTAACAAACATGTGAATCTAATTATTTTCACCATCGATTAGCGACTATAATTGTTATGGTTTTTACCGTTCGGCTAGATTTACGATTTCGTATATATGTTAATACTTCTAATAAATAATTAAACTCCACATTTTTATGTTTTAATATTATTTCTAAATTTGTGTTGAATGATTTTAATAGCTAAGGTTTAAAATGTTGTTTCGTTAGGTATGTAGCTGGTTGAGTTAGATAGCTGGGCCATAACCTGTAACCATCGATTTTTATATACGAGAAATCGATGAATGTAACATAACATTAAAAAAATGATTCTTAGCTGTCCGTGGTTGGCTATATAATTAATAAAATTTGTCATACATTATATATACCAGGGGTGGCGAACCTTTTTTGGTTCAAATGCCAAATTTTTCCTTTTTAGGTTTTAAAAATCGTTTAGGTGCCCAAAGAAAATTATATTTTCTGAGAAAAAAAATAAAATTACAGATTTATTATATTATTTTTATTAAATTTTAGTCATTCTTGGTGAAACACAAGCAGCAATTGTTTCATTGGTTAAAATATTTCTTTTCTTCGATTTAATTAAATTTGTTATGGCGAATAAGCTTTCACAAACATAATTTGAAGAAAAATATGAAAATATAAGAAATGAATATTGTCATTTTTAAAACATATATAATTTGTTTCCTTAAATTTTTTATAGTCAACATTTTATAAATAGTATAATTATTTTTTTGTGTACAATTTTTAATAATTTCAATTTTTTTGCGTATGCCATTAAAATTTGGTCAACGTGCCATAAATTCGCCACCCCTGATATATATTATTAAATATTTTATGTTATATAACAGTTATTCAAAAGTGTAACGTGAAATATGTACACATAGCTCATATTCAATATTTAAATTGTAAAACTCGTAAAGTAGATACTTACTTATTTAATAAAAAAAAATACCAAAATCTCTTTTGAAAGTGTAAAACAAATAAATTTAAATCTTCAGTATTCACGAAAATAATCAGGTATGCTACGGTATATATTTTAATTAATGTTAAAAAAAAATTAATATTTTTTGATTTTTGAACTTCTGTTTTAACAGCATAATATAATATTGGCAATACGTACAACATTTTTTATTAAAAAAAAATAAAATATATTTTGGAAGAAATTAAATATTATTTTCAATTACTATATTTAGTTTTCCTTCATGTTGAAAAAAGTATGCACTAGGAAAAACCAAATGACCTTTCAAAATACTATTTGTGTTTTATTTATAATTTTATATGATACTACATAAAATATATGGCTTCTGATTAATATACGGATTCACTAGCCAAGAAAGTGTTGACAGAAAAAAAAAAAATAAAACCAATACATCATATGTTTGAGTTTTACGTTAAAAATATGTTTTACGTTAATAATGGGCTCAATATGACTTAAATAATAAATAGTTGTAGTTTTCTTCCACGTTTATAATATTTTTCTTTCTAAAACTATCACATAATTATCACAGAATATTATTATAATATTAATATATAAGTTTCCAAAATATGAAATTAATCGATTGAATAGTTATTATATTATCTATTTATTTAAATATATATGATACTGTAAAAAATGATAAAGCTGTGACAAACTTATGAATAATCCAGTCCTAATTAATGTATGGGTGTGTCTAAATTTAGGTAATTTACTAATTTGTACAACTATATATGCTTAACAATAAAAATAATGAAAATTATGAATATAAATAATAGTTAATGAAACATTTGGAAATACTTATTAAGCATGAATTTACTCTTACATAAAAATTATATAAGGTAAGAAAATTATTAATTGTATATGTATAAATTGAGTATCTATATGTCTTTCGGAAACTGCAAAATCACTGTTAGTGTTAGTGCTGAGATTAAGAAGTTTATCGTTTTCCCCTGTTAAATAGTTTATATATCTGGATGCATTGAAAATGTCTTCAAATATTCAAAATTATATTTCCGTAAATGTTCATTACAAATTAATCAATTAACCGATATTAGTTAAAAATATCAACTATTTGTTAAAAATAATGTGGCTATTTAAAATTGTTTAACTTGCATTGTATTATTTATAATACTAACTGTTAAAAACGATTACAGATAAGCTTTAAAATTGTCTAGATATGGTGATTAAAATAGATTAAATTATATTAAATCGAGAGCTCTAAAAACAAGTTTTCTAAAAAAAATGAGAGAAGAAGCAGGTTCTCGGTATGAAGTTTTGATTTTACATATCAAAACTCGATGGTTATTATAAGGTTAGGTTGTAAACCGATTTTATGAAATGAAAAATAAATTATTATAAATATTCAATAATAAAGAGCCTAATAATGATTTCGCAACTCAATTAAATAATTTAAAGTGGTAGGAGAAACTAATCTACTTATCTGAAAAGTAAAATTACTATTATTTTATAGTTAAAATAAATACAGTTATATTTACTGTATTTTTGGTTTTATAAAAAAACGAGTGTAGTTTCAATAATTATAATAATATGATAACATTATAAATAAATAATATATTTAAATTACCTATAATAATGATTGGTTTTACAAATTATTATAGATGAATTTTATAACTATAAAATATAGTTAAAATAATACGAATTATAGTTGGCAAAAACGATGTTACTATTATTTATAGTAGGATCAACTACAAAAATATGTTGGTTCATATTTTGAGGTTATCAACATGGATTGTTATTTGTTCCGATTAATCATTTAATCATATTTAAGTTTGCATACGCGATTGAGATCACTTTGTTTAATTTAAATTAAGTTAAGTTTTTAATAAATAGTTTTATTTTCAAAATTGTTCAAAATTATTCAAAATTAAATTGAATACAGTTTTCAGGTAGTACATTTTACACTATAATATTTTATTGCAGTGGAATAGCCAAAATAGGTTATGGTCCATAGTTGATTGCTTATTGTTTTATGGGTGGTAAAAAAATATCACCTGGGCGTTTAGATATCATATTTAATATTACTGTCGCCCATTTTTTCTTAGTTATGCCACTGTTATATTGATAAGGTAATTTACGGCCTATATTATTATATTATTTGAAAAGATTATGAAGATGTTCTTACTTGGTTAAAAATTGAAGTCGAACCTAAAAGTGTTCTTCATAAAATTTGGAATAAAACCTCTCAATATAGACTTGAATTCCATAAAAAATGACAATATGATAAACATATATCCAGCTTTGAAAAAACTCACTGGTCATTATCTAGTTAGTTAATTTTTATGTTTGGTAACTACTAACCAAAATAAATTGAATTAAATACTTAAATTACAAAGTAATACTATTTTTATAGGTTAATATAGATTTTGCTCATCTGT